CGGACTGCTTGAAAAAAGAACGTAATATAGAGATATTAAAACAGGGTCACAAGGCATTACAAAAACATCAGGACAGCTTTTCAAAATCAGATCAAAAGGAGAAACAAGAGTGTAGGTCTAAAAAGAAAAAAAATTAAAAGATAAGGATCCAAAAATAAAAAAAGAAAAAAAGGAAAAGAGAAGCCCTATAACTTTAATAATAAAAGAATTTATAGATCTAGATTTATCAGAGGAAAAAAAGCAACTAAAAAAAGCGGCTGCTAAATCTAAAAAAGAGCAGTGAAGTAGCCGGAGGCGGGGCGATGATGATGTGTTTACTACAAAGGGCAGAAGAGACGAGGCGCCAGTAGCTTCTGCCCCTCTCCCAGCCGCCCCTCCACCCATGTACCAGCAGGTAGCTACAAAAGGCCACAGCTTCATAGGAAGGCAAACATGGTCACAATTGGCTGCTGCCTTTCCTGTTTTTAAAGAGCCACAAAATCATAATAGGTGGTATGATCCAGTCTCATACAGACAGCTTAAGGATCTGGTTAAAGCTACAAAAAATTATGGAGCAAATGCCAATTATACAACCACATTATTGAGCAGGATTGCTACAGTAGCGCTGACTCCTACAGACTGGCAGGAGATTGCAAGAGCAGCTCTTCCAGCAGGGCAGTTCCTGGACTTTAACTCTATAGCCCAGGACAAGGCTCAGACCCAAGAGCACATTAACATACAAGGCGGCCACCCAGAGTGGACGGCTGATATGGTTCTTGGACAGGGGGCATTTGCTGGATATCAGAATAATTATCCTTGGGAGGTATACTGTTTCTTTTCAATTCCCATGTGCCCTCAGGACCGGGAAAGGTTTGCGTTTACTCTTCCATCTGTTAACAATGAGCAACCCAATGCTCGGTTTCAATGAAAAACTTTGCCCCAGGGGATGGCCAATAGTGCGTTAATGTATATATAGATGCAACATTGAGTCCTGTTAGGAGACAATTTCCTACTGTAAAAATTGTTCACTACATGGATGATTTATTGTTATCTGCCCCCCATCAGGAAACCCTGAAGGAAGTTTTCCAAAAGGTTACATCCCTTTTGGAGGAGCAAGGACTCCACATAGCCTCAAATAAAGTACAAACATCTTCCATGGTAAAATTTTTGGGGACTATAATCACCCCTAAAAGCATCAGGCCTCAAAAAGTGCTTATTCGCACCCATCACCTTAAAACTCTTAATGATTTCCAGCAGTTGCTGGGAGATATAAATTGGATTAGAGGATATTTAAATATACCTCGTTCTGAGCTCTTGCCTTTATTTTCCATCTTAGAAGGCAATCCTGATATCTGTTCACCTAGAGCCATGACCCCGGCTGCAATGCAGGCCCTTAAGAGGGTAGAATCTGCTATTACTATAGCTCAATTACAGCGGGTGAATCCATCCTTACCAATCTTGCTATACATTCTCAAAACAAAGAATTATCTCACTGGAATGTTATGACAAGATGGGCCCCTCTGGTGGATGCATGAATATTCCATAGGAGCAAGATCTGTTCAATATTATCCAAAATTGGTGGCTGATCAAGCATTAATGGAAATAAAGCTTTGCTTAGCCCACTTTTTGAGAATGCCTGACAAGTTGATAATTCCCTATACGAGGGAACAGGTAGAAGTTTTGACAGCCACGGTAGATGGCTGGACTATCCTGCTTTGTGCATTCCCTAATGTTATTGACAATCATTTGACAAGGCACCCCTTAATAAATTTTGTGGAGAAAAATTTGATGTATTTTCCCAGGATTACCTCGCCCCACCCATTAAAAGGAGCCTTAACTATCTATACAGATGGCTCAAAGACTGAAAAAGGGGCTTTGGTGGCAGGAAATGCTAAACCTGTGGTCTTTCAATTTCGGCCTGATTTCCCCCAAGTCACTGAGTGCTTGATGGTTTTGAAGGTGTTTCAGAGATTTCTGGGACACAATGAAAGAAGTGACAATAAGAAATGTCACCGAATTAAGTGCCTACATTTAAAAAAGGAGTTATCTCATGCTAGCAAATAATAGCACACTTGAAAGCTCTAGGGCAAAAACAAGCAAACACTCCCAGAATGAGGAGACAGCAGGAAACAGTGAGACTGAAAGTTAAAATCTTGTCTTTCTCTTTCCCGACTCAGATACTTCCTATGTACCACACTTGCTCTCTATTGAAGTTATTGGTTCTTTTACAACCTCTTTTTCATTAATTGATAGTATAACAATTGTTATAACAATAGCATTAAAGAAAAAGTCATTTTCAAAGAAACTATATTTATGTATCTATACATATGTGTGTATATATGAATCAATGTATGCACAATACATTGCATACACAATGCAAATACACAAAAAAGCAATCTTTGCAGCCCATTTAATGTTACTGGTATGTATGATTTTATATATGAATTACTGGATGGTGTATGACAACTAGTAGGCAACTCAGCCCTGACCTATTTCTCCCACTCTCAGCATTTCTTAGTTACCTCAGTTCTTTGTTAAGAGGGAGGATCCTATGAGATTTCTTTTTTCTATATGAGCGTATCTATTGTGTTGACCGTTTTCATATTTTGTGTAGGCAGACATATAGCTAAAGTATTATAAGTTAATCCTTTCTGTGAAATTTAGACTAAAATACAGATAGAGAATATCAAATTAACAAAATCAGAAATGAAAAGGGGATACACAAAGGACAACAAGGAAATTCAGAGAATTTTAAGGATATATTTTAAGAATATTTATTCCACGTAATTGGAAAAATCTTTAAAAAAAACGGGCAATTTTCTTCATAGGTACCACTTATCAAAATTAAGATCAACTAAGTAATTTCAATAGACATAGAACCCCTAGTAAAACTGAAGCAATCATTAAAAGCTTCCAAAAAAGCCCAGGGCCAGAGAGAGAGTTCTTGAACACAGAATTCTACAAGACTTTCAAATAAGAGTAAACATCAATACTCTTTGTATTACCCCACAAAATAGAAACTGAATGAACATTAGCAAATTATTCTATTAGGCCACCATTACCTTGTGTCCCATCTACTCAACAAAGAAAGAGAATTATGGACCATTTCCCCCTATGATCATAATGCAAAAATTCTCAATAAAACACTTGAAAAATGAATCCAAGAACATATTAAAAACACCATCGAATGTAATCAAAAATCCTTCATCCCAGAAATGCAGGGATGCATCAAATGCACAAAAGTCAGCAATTACTATACCCCATAAAAACAAACTGAAAGTAAAAAAATTCACATGATAATCTTATTAGATACATAAATAGCTTTGACAAAATCCAATACCCCTTTATGATATGTCTTGAAAAGAACAAGGATACAGGAACATATATAAACATATTAATGGCAATATATAGAAAGTCAATAGCTAAGAGCCAACATCAAATTCAGTGGAGAGAAATTCTAAACAATTACACTAAAATCAAGAACAAGACAAAACTCTCTACTTTTTCCTTATTTATTCTATATAAGACTTGAAAATTTAGCTAGAATATTAAGACAACTGAAGGAGATCCAAGGGGATACAAATTGGAACAAAAGGTTAACTCACACAGTCAACTCTGAGACATCCGATCATTAACATTCTGTTTTCCCTGTAGCTAGATGCCCCAAGTCAAGCACTCTAGGTCATCTACACTGAAGACCACCCTTCCTTAGGTGACTTCACAAAAGAAAGGAGCAGAAGTACACTTGCATATACTGACTACCTGTCAGGATGGCATTGGGCTATCTTAAGTTCGAGGCCAGCTGGTCTACAAGAGATAGTTCTAGGACAGATTCCAAAGCTACAGAGAAACCCTGTCTCGAAAAACAAAACAAAACAAAACAGAACCAAGCAATCACCTCCTGAGTTGGGATATGCAACTATGCCTGTCAATCTCCAAATTCTCTGACTCTCAAGAGAAGGTGGAAATGGGCCTGCATTTTTCGGCCTCCACAGTGTCATGATTTAGGAATCACTCAACACAATACACAAAACCTTTAAGTATAATCAGTTTACACATCAGCAATAGTGTGAGTTAGGCAAGTTCCTTAATTTCTTCACATCCGATTCATCATTTTTAACAAGGAGATAATAGCAACTCCATATGGTGCTCATCCATATAGTCTTGGATGTGTGTTTCTTTCTTATTTTTATTTATTTTGCATGTTTGTTTTCTAGAGAGAGAAAGAAAGAAAAAACGTGGAACTGGTGGATCCGATCTAGGATGAGCTGGGGGTGGGGAAATCTGACCAGAAAACATTGTATGAAAAAGAATTTGTAACTAAAAAAAGGAGAAAGAGTCTCATGTAGCTCCATGAGGTCATACACATAAACTCATTAACAGAGTTCCTTCCAGTTTGTAAAGTTTCAGTGTTATCTATCATTATTATTAGCCCTGAGTTTGCTGCCCCCATAGTCTCATCATATGAAATCCTTACAAAAGCTCCCGTTAGTTTCTCCTTTGTAACCACTAATGACAAGAGATGACTTTAAGGTGACACATGCTCCCACAACTTCTGACATCTGTGACGACCTGCCTTTGCTTAAGCAGGTAGAAAAATGACAGTTGGGGATTAGAAGAAATCCTTTGATTTTTATTGGAGCTTGTTTCAGGCAATGGCAAGAAAGAAAAAAGACCCCACGGCTGACCGTCAGCCTCTTAGAGTACCTGCCTCCCACTTCCCCAGGCCATACCCAGCGGCCCAAGCGCTCTTTCCGGAGGCGTCTCCCGGGTCTCACCCCCCCCCCCCCCCCCATACTCCCGCTCCAGCCCAGCCCTTCCTCTCCCGCTCGCCAGTCTGGACAGAACACCTAGGTCTCATGTATCAGCCTCGCCTAAGCCGTTTCCGGTACAGGTGTCCACTCGGACCAACAAGATTTGCTGTTCGTTGAAGCATTGCTTCTTGGGAAATGCAGTACTCAGGCTGCCCTCCTTCTTCGACTGCAGCCGGAAGACTACACTTCCCAGCATGCCCAGCAAAAGGAAGGCGGACCCAGGCGGTCAGCTCCACGTGACTTCTCACTATGGCTTCACTGTGTTGTGGCCGGCTGTCTGGTGGTCTTGTGTGATTTGGTACTTGTCTGTGGCAGGGTAATCGTCTCTCGACATCGACATGCAAAAAATCAAATCTCTAATGACCCGGCAGGTGAGTCCTGTAGTTTGAAGCGAAGAGTTCCGTCCTCGGCTGAGGAGCGAAGCGCCCAGTCCCCGGGCAGCGGTGGGCGGAGGCTTAAGTTATAGGGGTTGGCGGGTCTCAGGGGCGCCGGGCAGCTAAATAGAAGTCTGGAAGACTCACTTGATCCCACCTCGACTCTTTGTGGGTACTGTTCACTTAGACACAGTCATTTAGACGTGGCTAGCCAGAGACTTGGGCTGTCTTTGTCTCCCCTCCTTTGCTTTTGCTTCCTTTCCAGGACAGCCCCAGCTGCTTTGCAGCATCCCCGCATCCTGACGAGCGGCGATTTGCCAGTAGGTGTCCTGGAAAGGAAGGTGAGGTCTGTACAGTGAGAAGACTGGAAAAGAGCGAGGGTGAAGGAACAGGGCTATTTGTAGAGAACATTGGTAGCATTGTGGTTCGGGGGCAACTGTCCAAACCTTGTAGATGTTTTCTGGATGTGAAAATGAGAGTGACAGTTGCTTTTCTGTTCCTCCTATCTTAATGTACCTCTGTGAAGGTCATCAGTAAACAAAATAGGCGAGTATATTGCTACTTTAAAAAATTATTGTTTTGGCAAACTGTGTTCTTTTTTGTTTTTGACAGAATGATAATTTACGAATAAGACTGCTCTGTATCCTGTCTCACATATGTTAGGGCTTCCTAATACTGTCTCAGCTTTTCCCAAGAAGCCGCAGAAATTTATTTTTTAGGTATTTATTGGTCATTTTATTTCAGAAACGTTTGACTGTAGCATATAAATAGAATTTGCTATTTTTTCTTTGTTTTAATAAGAAACAAGCATAGTTAGGTGATCATAGTGGCTTAAAATATTGATGGAATCCTTTCACTAAAATTTCACGTGTAATTTTTTTCTTAACAAAAGAGAACAGGAATACAGATGACTTCCTTACATACTTAAAAATTCAGAATTTTAGCAATAGTGGGATAGTTTCACATCAGGTCTGATAGGCAGTACATACATGATCCTGGTATAATTGTTTTCCTCTTTCAAGGAAAATATGATTGGTGTCAAGAAAATAAGAAAACTGTTCTGTTAATATTACAAAAACAAGTAGGTAAGTCGAGGCACTTAGCAGTCCTTCACACTTGAACGCTGTGGCTGTGCTTCCTGCTGCTTCTTACTCTAAAAGGAGTTTGTGGGCTACTCCATCTGAGGTGGGAGGGGAGAGAACAGACAGACGAGGAGCTAAATTTCAGCCCCTCAAGTGCTAGACCGTTTTAAGATTACAAACTGGTTTTTCTTACTGTCTGCTTGGTCTTGCTTGTTTACAGTGCGCTCATTTGTCTCCTGTGCCACTTGTAAGCTGCCTTGGGGCTGTCGACTTTTTGTCCCTAAGGTTGGTGCCCACTTTCATTTGGTGCCTGTGTTACCGTGGTGTACAGGAACTTTGGTGATTTGATTTTGAACCTTGCCTGAGGAAAATGAATGGGAGAGAAGAACCAACAAATTCTGAATAAGTGATGCTGATATATTTACAGTGTTTGTAAATGCAATGCAGACTGCACTGAAAGTGCTGATTCTTAAGCCTCAGTCAGCTTTTTGAATTATAGTGGGTTATATCTGTGTTTAATTGGAGAGGAAAAAAAAATCTTCAGAACATATACTGGAAGCGGAAGCTATACTTAAAAAATAGTGCGGTAAAGTTAGGAGGTTTGTACAAATGTGTAGCCCTCCTAATGATCCATGTTTAAAGCTATACATATCTAAGGTTTCTACAAACTTTCTTATGTTGTTAATGGATATGAAAGTGAAATGAAATTCTGGTTTATGAAATTTCAATTTTATTTGTGTTCTCTCTCTGGCTGTTTTGATCTTTCTTTGCAAAAGATTCACAGGGAAGGATGCACTCTGTGAGCTGGCCTTATTCAGATGAGATCTGCTACTCACTCCGTTATGCTGGCCTCCGTTCTTTCAGTTCAGTCAACAAATTGAATCGAGCATTATGTGCCAGGCACTATTCCAGGTTTGGGAGAGGCCTCAGTGAATAGAATAGACAAGTGCTAAGGCAGACATGGTGAGCCGTGCCTGAAGGAAAGAAGGTAAAGGAGTTTTGACAGTTAGGATCAATTATATCTTTACATACAGGGTGGACATAGAAAGCCTCAGTGGGAAGTTGGGCGGTGGTGGCACACGCCTTTAATCCCAGCACTTGGGAGGCAGAGGCAGGCACTGTGAGTTCGAGGCCAGGCTGGTCTACAGAGCAATTTCCAGGACAGGCTCCAAAGCTGCAGAAAAACAAAACAAAATGAAACAAAAAAAACAAACAAGCTTGAGAGGGCCCGTGGGAAGATGATGCAGAAGACCTGACAGAGAGAGGATGGCCAGGGAACAGACTGCCATCAGAAGAGCTCATTCAGATGCCTGAGTGAGGAACTCTTGTGATCCAATGTAGGCAGAGTAAAGGGAGTAAGGGAAAGGTCTCAGGAGATGAGGTCAGGATGAGAGCCCAGAGCTGAAGTAGGAAGCAGGATCACACTGAACATTACAGGTTCTAGAAATACCATGACTTTCATTCTGAGTGAATTGACAGAGGAGCCATGTCAATAGCTCAATAGAGCACTCCAGAAAAACCATTTGATTCCTGCTTTAGTCATAGACTGAAGAAGGAAAAGAGCAAGAATTGAGGGGCTACTGCAATGACCCACGTGGTGAAGCGTGTGGGCCTTACCAGAGTGCTCGTGTTGGAGGTGACCAAAGAAGTGAACAATTTCCTCATGTGTAAATGTTAAAGATGACCCAAGTTGATTGAGAATGACACTCTGAGATGGAGAAAAGTTCACACTAGAGGGGAGTGATTTGAGAGGACGTTTTTAAACCTGATATATGAAGGCTGCCTAGATATTTAATTAGAGAAAAAGTAGAGACTTCACCAAATGCGTCTGAGTTTATGGGCAGGAATCTGAAGCATAGATAAAACTTCAGGAGTTACAACTCTATAATTGATAAACAGCATTGGCTGAAGTCAAGTGGGGCTGTTGTAGATGTATGAAAAGCCTGGACTGCCTTTTTCACTCAATGTTCAGAGATGGATTGTGCAGAGTAGAATATGAAGGAGCTGTCAGTCTTACAGAGTCTTAGCAGTATGAGTGACCACCAGCATGTAGCAGATGCTTAATAAATGGATGGGGAGAACACATAAAAGCCAAGGGTTGGAAAGCTGCAGTAGACCCACCAGGTAAGACTTGGCTGAGAATCAGCTTTGGGACCTGACAGTAGCACTTCTTGCTTACTTACGTTCATAAAAATTATTTAATTTTTATTTTATATCCATTGATGTTTTGCCTGTATTCATTCTGTGTGGGAGTGTCAGATTTCCCTGGAACTGGAGCTACAGACAGTTGTGGCTGCTGAGAATTGAACCTGGGTTCTCTCGAAGAGGAGCCTGTGCTTTTACTACTGAGCTGTCTCTCCAGCCTTGACAACAGAACTTAAGAAGTCGTGGGTGAGAAATTCTGGCTAGGGTAGGCTCAAGACAGACATGTGAGGGAGAGAGATGGAGAGAAATAAATCATCGACACGCAAGTCTTGCTCAGAAGAAAGGAACACAAGTAGCTGCGCTGCCCTTTTGTTCTGGCAGAGCAGAGATTGCTGGTCCCATAAGGGGAACACGTTCACATAGCTGATCTGATTGAACAAAGTGCAAAAACAGGCTTAGTGATGCTGAATTTTATATATGTTTAAATTCTAAAAAAACATTAGAAAAAAATCAAATACTGGATAATGATGATAACAAATGTTTTTGTTTAATAAAAGTAGAGCACCAAAGTTACAACAAAGAATTTGTGCCTTAAATGAAAACAACAGAAAACTGACTTCATTTTGAACTTAAAAAAACCTTATAATGAAAGGATTAGCAACCTGTGGTCTTACATGACAGTTGAGTGCCAAATATATTTATAGACATCTAGGTTCTTACTTTTTCTTCACTTCTGTTTTCAAAGAAGAGTCATTTCTCTGTGATCCTAATAGTTCTAAGAATAATGATTAAGACTCAAGGAATGTTTACCAGTTTCAAGCTTTCTGGCCCCGCTTTGGTTTCTCATGGGAGCTGTCATTCTTTATAACAACCCCTGGTTGGAGTATATCACAAAGGAAGGCTGGGTAGGATGTGCCAGGCTGCAGGAGAGTCAGGGTACAAACCAGGTGGTTTCTTCTGGAATCCACTCCACTCTGCTGGCTCCTGACAGAGTGCTTCCAACTTTTATTATTCGTATTTTGTACATGTGGGAGAATGCTGCCATGCTTACTGTTGGTAATTGTATGGTAATTTAGAGGCGAAACCTTTCTCTAGTTACAGGTATATATCATACTTACATGACAGTCTAGCATCTAGAGAAAGAGAAAGACATGCTGTATTCACTCAAGGATTTCTGTCACATTAGTTAACCTTCAAAACATGTTTAAAGAAATGCTAATTATGGGCTGGAGAGATGGCTCAGCGGTTAAGAGCGCTGGCTGCTTTTCCAGAGAACCTGAGTTCAATTCCCAGCACCCACATGACAGCTAACAACTGTCTGTTCCAGGGCACCTGACACCTTCACACCAATGCACATAAAATGAATTAAAATTAAAAAAAAGGAAAAAATGCTAATTACACTATGAAAATGGTATTTGAGTAACAGTATCATTCATTAATGCTGCTTTTCTTTCCTATATGTATACTGTATATCTAATATATGTGTTATGGCAGTTTAGCTGTCTAAGTCAGCCTTGCCATTTTTGATGCTGTGCCATCATGTGAGCTGCTGGGGAGAAGTCCAAGATAGGACAAACAGCCCAAGCCTTGCAGCAGATCCCACATACTCCATTGCAAGTCATACTAGACAACTAGACTTGAGCCTACCTAGTAAGTGTCCGGAAGCTGCAGGCTACGGGCAGGGGCGTGCTGCCCTGAGAACAAAGTAGTTGGAGACTGGAGCCTACCCAATAACTCTCATTCTCTCTCTCTCCCTCTCCCTATCTCTCCCTCTTTCCTCCCCCCGTCTGGTTTTTCCTGCCTCCCTCCCTCCTCCTCTCCCCCATCCTTTCCCCCTCCATCTGTTCATTCTCCCTTCTCCCTTCCCCCCTTCCCTGTCTGTGCTCTCCTTGGGAACTTTGCTAGCCATTGGGCAACAGAGGCAAATACCATTTGCTTTTTCCTTTTTCCCCGAGACTTAACGTGTGAAAGAAGTGTGTGCACTTAGTATTTAAACTTCACTGATTTGGCCCAGAGATTGTTTTGAAAATGTCTAACTGTGTTTCTGAAGCATTTACAATCTTTGGACTTGAGGTGCTAGTTAAAATGCAAATTACTAATCCTAATCCAGAAGTACCTATTTATTAGATTCATGGTAGGGCCTTGGGATCTTTAAAAGTTCCCTGGATAATATTACTAGTCACAGTCTTTAGTTATGCTGTGAAGTACTGTGTGTCTGAAGCTGGTAGTGTGTTGGTTTTCTATTTCTTGGAGACAGGAGGGAGAGTGGTAACAGGAAAAAAGGACAAGTGGGGTGGATAGTCGGTACAATGGTAGAAAACATCGTTGTAAACCTGCAGATGTGACAGGTGCTGTTTCATAGCAAGCGCGGCAGCGTCCTGCATCTTCCATAGAACAGCGGTTAAGCCTCAAGTAACGGACAGAAGTACACTGTATAGTTTAGTGTGTAAGGAGTCCAAAAGGCAATGTGGCTGTGTTGTAAATCTCTCTTCAAAATAGTGTCTACTTTTCCTAAAGACTATTGTCCACTTCTTTAAATAGCATATTTTTAAGATGAGTCTTTGAAATGGAGTTTAAATGCTGAGTTCTTTCTGTCCCTAGTTTTTTTTTTTTTGGTATATGTAAGGTTTTCAGAATCCTTCAACCAGTGTGCATATAGAAGGTACCACAGTGCTGAAAAGCAATGAGACATGGAGTTTCTATCTTATCTTAGGCAACATGAATTAGCTACATTAGTGAGAAATAGTCAAGGTTAACAAAGGTCTTATGTTTTAATTAACATTTTTAAAAGGGTTGAACTAGATCAGTTGGTTAGTGTATTTTTATCTGTAAACCATACAGCTTGGGTCCTTTTTAAAGGTGAATTTGTTAATGATTTAAATAAATGTGTGTTTATAGAAGTCTTTGTTATGATTCCTTTCTCTTGCTTGTTTTAAGGTTGTGGCTAAGTTAGGCTTCTGGTTCTGTGCTGACAGTGCTGCTGATACTCTCTTACTTTAAAATACTCAAAGTGCAAACTTACTTGATTTCATAGCAGGCCGTATGCGTCAAGGGATGGTTGTTCTTAGAGTGTATGTTCTCTGTATTTTGAAGAAGGAAAATCTCATTTTAAAACTGTCATGTCTGTATCACTAGGTGTGTTCTAGCCTTTTACGGTTCTTTAGCACATTTAAATTGTGTTTGTCTCATTTTGTTTTTGTTTTTGTTTTTTTTTAAAGGGTCTGAAAAGCCCTCCAGAGAGCCTCAGTGATCTTGGTGCCTTTGAGAGTCTTCAGGTCCCTGGAAAGGTATTGATCTACATATGTGGTGTGACTTTTTACTTCCTCAAGAGCAGACTGACTGCCTCTGGGTACTAATTGCTTTCCTGAAGCTCTGCTTCCCACAGCAGGTGGATACTGGGATAAACTAGGTGATGTTTTGCTTTCATTATGAGGGGGATGCAGTATGAGTCACTAGTAAACACTGCAGAATTAATAAAGTTAGGGTTTATTATATCAAATTCTTGACTTGAAGGCAAATATATATGTATATTGTACTTTTTGCTATAATTTGACAGTGTAAGGCAAAATAATTTACTAACTGACTTTTTAATGCTAAGCATCCCGAGCCCCAAAGTATATTTAATTATGTTTTTCCTTTGGGCAGAGGATTTTGAATAAATAAGTGAAACCCAACTTATACTAAGTCTGGTATATTTCGGATTCTAATTTTTTAATCTTCATGTGAACATCTCAGTTTACAAGTTTAATGCATGCCACTTGAAAGCTAGCTGGTTTTCTTTCCCTGGAGACTGTCAGGCATTGTTAACCTTGCCATCAGTGTCTGTGGATTGCAGCTCTGCCACAGATAAAGGCTTGCAAATCTTTTTAATTTGAGGATCATTGTATGGGTCTGATTTTTTTTTTAAAAACAGTTTTTTTTTTTTTTTTAAATTGAAACCAGGGTCCCCTGCTTGCTCCGAAAGTAATCTACCACTGAATTAAACCTCCAGCCCCTGAGTATTGTAATTAAAAACACTCTTCCGCTGTGTCTGGCATCTCAATACAAGAAGCTTTTGTTCTCTTACTAGAATTTCTTTTATATTTTTAATTTATTATATGGGACTATGTAAGGGTATTTTCGTACACCTTTATAATGTACTTGAGCGAGCACATTCCTCTCCACACCCCATTATCTGCTCCCTCTGCGCCTTCACCCTCCCTGGTTGTCCCTTTTCTTATCCAGATAGTTTAGCTTCTGCTTTCATGTCATCTGTGTGCACCCAGTTTTATCTATTGTTAGTCTTGGACTGTAAGTGAGAGAGTACGCACGAGCCATCTTTGAGGCTGAGTTGTTTTGCTTAATATGATCATTTTGTCCGGGTTCCTGTAAATTACATCATGACTGAAGAGCATTCTGTTATGTACATAAACCACATTTTCTTCATCCATTCCTTGTTGGAAACATCTGTTAGTTCCATAGCTTAGCTGTAGTGACTAATGTTGCAGTGAACATTGATGTGCAAGTGTGTATGTGCTATGTTGCCAGGAGTCTTTTGGGTAAATGCACAGGACTGACACGGGATTGTATGGTAGGTCAGTTTCTAGTTAATTACAGTCCCACCCCAGCAGTTCGCACCCTTGTCAGCCTCTGTGCTGTTTCCTTAATACAGGATTTTTCTTGTTCAGTTGGGGTGTGAGAAGCCTCACACCCCAGTGTTGGTTCCCATCTCCTTCAAAGACTTTCACCAATGGAGTAAATTTTGCACTTATTGTTTAACCTTTTTTGGAGTTGAGACACAGCATAGTGTCACAATATGATAAAATGCTAATAAACCTTTTTTATTTACTTATTTATTTATTTATAAAAATTTCCACATCCTCCCCTCCTCCCCATACCCTCCCATTCCCCCCACTCCCTCTCCTCCTCCCCCTCCAGTCCTAAGAGCAGTCAGGGTTTCCTGCCCTGTGGGAAGTTCAAGTTCCTTCCCCCTCCCTCCAGGTCTAGGAAGGTGAGCATCCAAACAGACTAGAATCCCAAAAAGCCAGTACATGCAGATGAAACAAGACCCAGTGCCATTGTCAATGGCTTCTCAGTCAGCCCCCATGTCAGCCACATTCAGAGAATCCGGTTTGATCACATGCTCGTTCAGTCCTAGTCCAGCTGGCCTTGGTGAGCTCTCATTCGATCAGTCCCCTTGTATCAGTGGGTGATCGCACCCCTCACGGTCCTGACTTTGTTTTTCATGTTCTCCCTCCTTCTGCTCCTCATTTGGACCTTGGGGGGCTCAGTCCAGTGCTCCAATGTGGATCTCCGTCTCTATCTCCATCCATCGTCGGATGAAGGTTCCCTCTGATCTTGCCTTCCTTGCTCACGTTCTCCCTCCTTCTGCTTCTCATTTGAACCTAGGGAGTTAAGTCCAGTGTTCCAATGTGTGTCTCTATCTCCATCCATCGCCAGATGAAGGTTCTTGCTGCAGGCAGGCTATTAAAACAAAGGAACTCCCTCCTGCCCGGTTGCACTCACCGCCCTGTCCCGGCGCCCACCCAGGCTGGGCTGGGGGATTTTAGGCCCCGAAAAAGGGAGCGGGGAAGGAAAGGGGTTCTTGGCTCACTAATAAACCTTTTGCATGAAGTAATTCGGACAGTGACTTAGGCATCATATATATGTGTATATAAAATTATAAAATATGTTATGAATGGATGTGGTACAGTTAGGAAGTGAGGATTAACCGTACATTCTAACTGATAACAGTTGTCTTTATTTGATGAAGAAAAAAAGATGATTATACATTGTGGACATACATTGAATTTGATTGTATTACATGCTTCATAATCAATATCATATTGATGAGTGAATCTCATTAAATATACATGAATTTCTTATTAGGAATGGTCTGTTGTCTTTAAACCTCAAGACCTGATGTTTCTTGCAACAGTGGTGGTGGCAGAGGATTTATGCATAGTTTTCCAATGGACCTTTTACTGTATTTCTTTGAGATATCCGGCTCTGGGTAGAGTATACTGTCTGGGGTCACAGGATCAGCAAGTGAAAATGGTTCAGGTAAATGTCATATCTAAGCACTGGTCTTTTTGGCACATACTGAGGAGTTACTGGATGGTAAAGTAGCTAATAGGAAGTGCTATCTCTGATGTAAGCTGCAGCTGGTCTTATAGTAAGACAGCTTCCCAAGCGCCTCATGCCTGTTCATTATCTGCTTGCTGACAACATTCCAAGGAGACTGCAGTGCTGCTACGCTCTCTCTGCGTGGCTCTGACACCTAAGAGCCATGCAGTTGAGAATGGTGGTACTCTGGTATCACTGAGTTTGATGTGAATCTGCTGCTGAGCCTGATCACTAAGAGAGCGCGAGTTCTGTGATTGCGCACTCACTGTGGCTTACTTTAACTCCAGTGCAGAGTGAATATATACATCCTGCATTCTGAAGGTTGATGCTTTCTTCTTCTAGTCTCCCTGCGAATTTTCAGTAACAATTTTGAGCACTGACTGTGTGCTAGACACACTCTAGGAAATGGCATACAGCAGTGGGAAGGCAGGTTCCTCGGCGAAGCTTCTCTTTCCTCTGTTGCATTCACATCAGGGAAGGCCCATAGGAAGTGAGGCGATTGTAAATTATGACAAAAACCTTGGAAGAGGTTAGGTGGTGAGTACCCAGTGCGTCTGGGTACTCTACTTGAAGTCTGTTCCTCTCATGTTGTTTTACAGAGGTGATAAATGTTCCAGAGATGATTTTGAAATTTGGATTATGGATTTAGTAATCTGTTGTATGGAAAATACAGTATATTACTGGAATTAAACTTTGAGAATGCAGGATATAGATATTCATTCTGCATCAGAGTTAGAGTAAGCTGCACTGAGTGAGCATTCACAGAACTCCAGTTATCAGCTACTCAATGGTGGGTTAAGATGGATATATTGATACTTACTTATGCTACTTATACAATTTAAATGCAGTGAAGAACCACCTAAATACTTCCATTTAATGGCCTCCTCACACTCATCAGTATATAGGTAGAACATTGAAAATAATCCCTCTGTTCATGAATGAGCTCATTTCTTTTTGTTTTTTAACACTGTAGCATTCCAAGCCTCAAAGTATATTTAATGATGTTTTTTCTTTGGACAGAGAATTTGAATAAGCAAGTGAAAATCAATTTATACTAAGTCTGATCTATTGTAGATTTTAATTCCATAATATTCATGTGAACAGTTCAGTTTGCAAATTTAATGCAGGAAATGTTTTCTTCTTCTTTTTCTTTATTATACTATCTTTTAGTTTGGAAGAAGGAACTCTCAACCCAGGAAAGAAATAGATTAGCTTAAGTTGTGGCATACTGGAGGGCTCTAGAATAAAGAACAATGTGTACAGGAGTGGATTATTAGGATGGAACATACTGTCGTTGGTTAGGTTAAAATGATTACTATTTACAGATTTCATGCTGGTTCAGTTCCCTAGGAAAAGGAGGGCAGTGAGGGGGAACTGAAGAACAGTGTGTATGTCTGATGAGCCAGAGGGCCTTCTTTTTGTTTTTGTTTATTAATTGTATTTTGAGACATGTTAAGTACTGGGTGGTTGGCTGGGAGTCATCTTCATGGTGGAGGAGTGCAGGGTCCTCTGGAATGGTTCAGAAAAGCGATGGTGTTGGTGCGACTGTGTTGAACGGGTGACAGACATGACGTGGAGAAATGCAGAAGTGCTGACTTTGAGGGACATTTAAAATGCAGAGTCCGCGACTGAAGATTGTCCTGGACGTGGGAGCTGAAAGAATCTGGAAAGCACTGAGGCTGGGGGTGCTCTGATGGCTTTCCTTGGCACAGATCTTATTATTTTGGAAGGGTCTAGAAAGACATTAGAACTAAAGAAAAACAAGAAAGGTACATTGGATTTTCTCTGATTCTCTGTCTTGTGTCTTCTCTCCAGCATTAGTATCTCAGCAGTGGCAGACAGTTTAATATTCATTGAAGCTGAGAATCATTTTTAAAGATAGCTTAAAAATGTTAATGTGTCTGTCAGGCGGTGGCGGCAAATGCCTTTAATTCCAACATTTGGGAGACAGAGGCAGGTCTGTGAGTTCAAGGCCAGCCAGGTCTACAGAGTGAGTTCTAGGACAGTCAGAGCTGTTACACAGAGAAACCCTGCTTTCAAAAACCAAAAAAGATAGGAAGAAAGGAAAAAAAAAGGAATATTTTATGTTTCCAATGTCATTATCTTCAGTGTTTTTCATCAGTAAATCTAGAATATAATAAAATCAAAGACTTAGGTTGTCTTTTCTTTTCTTTTTTGGAGT